TGCACTTCCCGCAGATGAAGTCAGTGGGGACACTAGTGGTGACCCTTACCTCCCACATTCTACAGGAGGAGCATACAACTGCCCTAACATCCATTCCCACTGTTCTGAATTCCCAAACAGACGAATTAAAAAAAAAATACTAGTAGCCTTACCAAATCAGCGCTCAGAACCTTTTTTTTTGGTTAGAGGAGGAGGATGGGTGGGAGACACTACCTAGGTAGTGTTTCGGGTAAAGCAACCGCCCAAATATATTACCTCACTTACTCCAAAAATGGAGTCACGCGAGGTAAGACTTTTATAATCGAAAAGCTCACCTTCCCAGGCTGCCCTCGCGCTTCCTCCCGGACTCCCGCCGCTGAAACAACTGAGATGGTGAAGAGATAGTTTAGATTAAAGAGCTAGTGGCATAGTGGTAATGTCATTGGGCCAGTAAATCCAGGCACTCAGGTTAATGCTCTGGCAATTGGTAGAATTTAATTTCAATTAATAAAATCTGGAATTGAATAAGAACAGAAGAAATAGGAGCCGGAGTAGGCCATCTGGCCCCTCGAGTTGGCTCTGCCAATTAATAAGATCATGGCTGATCTTTCTCGTGGACTCAGTTCCACCTACCCACCCGCTCACCATAACCCTTAATTCTTCTTCTGTACAAAAATCTAACTATATTTGCCTTAAAAATATTCAATGAGGTAGCCTCAACTGCTTCAGTGAGCAGGGAATTCCACAGATTTGCAATCCTTTGGGAGAAGAACTTCCTCTTCAGCTCAATCCTAAATCTGCTCCTCTAGTTCTAGTTTTACCTGCCAATGGAAACAACCTCCCTGCTTCTATCTTGTCTATTCCCTTCATAATTTTATATGTTTCTAAAAGATCCCTCTCATTCTTCTAAACTCCAATGAGTATAGTCTCAGTCTGCTCAATCTCTCAGCCAACCTAGTGAACCTCCTCTGCAGCCCCTCCAGTTCCAGTACATCCTTTCTCAAGCAAGGAGACCAAAATTGTACACAGTACTCCAGGTGTGGCCCCACCAATACCCTATACAGCTGCAGCATAACCTCCTTGTTTTTAAACTCCATCCCTCTAACAATGAGGGACAATATTCCATTTGCCTTCTTAATTACCTGCTGCACCTGCAAACCAACCTTTTGTGATTCATGCACAAGGACACCCAGGTCCCTCTGCACAGCAGCATTCTGCAATTTTTCACCATGTAAATAATAGTCCATTTTGCTGTTGTTCCTACCAAAATGAATGACCTCACATTTACCAACATTGTACTCCATCTACCAGATCCTTGCCCACTCACTTAACCTATCTATATCCTTCTGCAGACTTTCAGTGACCTCTGCACATATTGTTTTACCACTCATCTTAGTGTCATCTGCAAACTTTGATACACTGCACTTGGTCCCCAACTCCAAATCATCTATGTAAATTATAATCAGTTGTGGTTCCAAAACTGTTCCTGAGACACATCACTAGCCACTGATCTCCAACCAGAAAACACACATTTATCCCCACTCTTTGCTTTCTGTTGGTTAACCAATTCTTTGTCCATGCTAATACATTACCCGTAATGCCGCGCACATTTATCTTATGCAGCAGTCTTTGGCATGGCACCTTTTCGAATGCTTTCTGGACATCCAGATACACCACATCCACTGGTTTCCTGTTGTCCACCATGCTTGTAATGTCCTCAAAGAATTCCATTAAATTAGTTAAACATGACCTGCCTTTAATGAATCCATGCTGTATCTGCCCAACGGGATAACTTCTATCCAGATATCTCGCTATTTCTTTCTTAATGATAGATTCAAGTATTTTCCCCACTACAGAAGTTAAGCTAACAGGCATATAGGTACCCACCTTTCATCTGCCTCCTTTTCTAAACAGTGGTGATACATTTGCTGTTTTCCAATCAGCAGAACCATCTCCAATGTCCAGCGAATTTTGGTAAATTACTATGACCACATTTTGCTATTTCTCCTGCCATCCTTTTTAGTGCCTTGGGATGAATTCCATCAGGGCCAGGAGATTTGTCTACCTTTTTGCCCATTAATGTGCTCAATACTAACTCTTTAGTGATTATGATCGTTTCTAGCTCTTTACCTACCATAGCCTCCTTGTCATCAATTCTTGGCATGTTATTTGCATCTTCCACTGTGAAAACCATCATAAAATACCTGTTCAACTCCCCAGTCGTTTCCTTATTTCCCATTATTAAATCCCTCTTATCCTCCAAAAGATCAACATTTACCTTAGCCACTCTTTTTCATTTTATATATTTGTAGAAAATTTTGCTATCTGTTTTTATATTCTGAGCTAGTTTACATTCATAATCTATCTTGCCTTTCTTTCTAGCTTTCTTTGTGGCTTTCTGTTGACATTTAAAGATTTCCTAATCCTCTAGTTTCCTACTAATCTTTGCAACTTTATATGCATTAGCTTTCAATTTGATACCCTCCTTTATTTCTTAGTTATCCATGGCTAATTATCCACTTTCCTACAGTCCTACCTTTTCACTGGTATACACTTTTGCTGAGCACTGTGAAAAGTCGCTTTGAAAGTCCCCCTCTGTTCCTCAATTGTCCCATCATATAGTCTTTGCTCCCAGTCTACTTTAGTCAACTCCTTTGTTTAAGCACAAGACACTGGTATTGGATTTTATCTTCTCATCTTCCATCTGTATTTTAAATTCAATCATATCATGATTGCTCCTTCCGAGAGGATTCCTAACTGTGAGTTCATTAATTATTTCTGATTCATTACACAGGTCCAGATCTAAAATGCTAGTCTTTGTAATGGTGACAATTAAACTGTTCGGGGCAATTTGGGAATGACATGAGTTAACCTGTATATCTGTATGAAGTTCACTTTTATTTATTCTTATTCAAGGAAGTAGGTTAAATGACTGCATACACATGATCAGGTACTGATGCAGCAGACAGAGTTTCTGTGAAATTACAACGTGACTGGACCACCATTAACCCTAAGGCCTTATTTGGAAATAGAATGTGAGGATGACCCCATAGCACACCAAGAAAGACAAAGAAATGGAGTTTAGTCAAGGATGGAGATGAAGCACAGGCTTCGGAGGGAAGATAGAGAGTGGTGAGACCAGAAGTAAAAGGAGCCTTGCCATTTTGGAATATGCAAAAATCAAGATGTTTATCTAAAACAGACCATTTTGGAATTAGAATAATGTCGTATTTATGTGATTTATAATGTATAAATATTTGTTGAATCCTTGTTGTGTTAAAGTACTACATCAGAATCTTTTCTGGGGTAGACTCCCCTGTTCTGAGGAAGGGTCACCGGACCTGAAACGTTAACTCTGTTTTTTTCCTTCACAGATGCTGCCAGACCTGCTGAGCTTTTCCAGCAACTTTGTTGTTGTGTAGACTCCCCTAACGTTAGCTCAATAAACAATCATTGACCTGTTACCTTGAGGCCCCTGAGATTACTTTGTAAAACAATCTGAGCACAACAAAACTACAAACTCATCTAGTTTACAATGTTGTTTAAGAAAAGCAATCCCAGTGTAACCATGTGTGATTCCACACTACAACAATGTGATTGACTCCCAATTACCCTCTGAAATGGTCTTTGGAATTAGCATAAATGTGATTCCCACATCACATCAAAGAATAAACAAATAGCATCTAATTCCAGATCATTAGTGTAGTTAGTAAAAAATAATAGTCTTAACATCAATCACTTCAGGAGTTCACAAGTAACTAATCTCCATAGAAAATTCTTTCTTGTAATAACAATTTTCTGAGAATGAAAGCAGTTTTTTAACCATGTCTGGATCTGCCCTGCAATCACTTAATGCTATAAATGAAGTTACTGTGCAGAAAACTTACGAAAACACAGTTATGTCAACTGGACGACCTTCATCCAGCAACCTAGTAACTTTCTCAAAAACTTTTCATCATTACTGAGATATTGCCCTCTTTCAGGAACAATGTTGGGTCACTAATAACTCCTCTTTCCAGGTCATCTTATAGAATATCTATTGATCTCAGAAACTTATTTTTAATTGAAGTCAAGTCTAACTTGCCTTTTGATTGGTATTAGAACAATGCCCTAACTGTAGTGAGATAGTCCTAGAGTCAGAAAAACATATGAAAACACAGTCAAAATGGCAAACTGGCCCTATGCCAAGGGCTCACTTAGTTCAGGTCCCATCTGCTCGAGTACTGTTGAGGGATTGCCCACAGGTCCAGCAACCCTATCTTATCCTGTCAGGATAATAATGCTGGCAGCTACTTTTGCATTTCTAATGTGTCAATAATGCATTAAGGGCAACTGAATATCATATAGTGGAATGAAGACTGACGGTGTGGTTTTAAATGGCTAATTTGCATTGTCCTGGCAGTGGACATTCATTTTTTTTCCCCTGAGAACTTTTTTTTTAAACAGTCTCTGGTCTCCTAATATAAGTAAAATATTGCTCGCACATCCATCCATGGCCTGTTTTCTCACTTTCTCTGTTAGCAGCTTTTTTTGCCTTGAGTAAAGCTTGTTACTTAGCTTGTTCTCTTCAGGATTATCTGCATTTAATCCTGGGTTATTGTACATAACCAGTCTGCCTTCTCCTAACTCTGGGAATAAACATGGGTTAAGAATTTTGATAAGCAAATAGTTGGCCATTTTCTAATCCAAGACATCATAAAATCAGTTTAAAAAGGAAATTTAATTATGCATAGGATTGTTAGGAAATTACTAGATATGCCCTCATGCCAGACAATTTGGAAAAGGAATATACATAACTATATGAAAAAGAATTTAATTATAGAAAAGGTAGCTTTTCAGGGAGCTACTGAGCTGTGATGGGATGAATGATCTCCTGTACTGTCAAGGTCTGTGATACTATATTTCTTTACTAATGGCTTGCAATGTCAGTTTTATACACTGCACTGGGAATCTCTTGTCATGGGGGCATAAATACAGAACGTCTATTACATTTCCTGTTCATATGCTTTACAGGTGAGAGGCAATCTGACACCCACATTAAATCAAAGTGCCACAGAGTCTTTGAATAAACTCAAAATTAAGACTATTTGTAATGTACAAAAATATATTTACAGCTTTCTAAACTTATTATCAAGAGATCAGATCATTGCTATATCTTACACTGTACATTAATATACAGAAAAACATATACAAACGCCAAACATCAGATTCTACAAACCAGTTGCTTAAATGTGAAAGGTGCCATATATCCATGAAGTTGTATAAATTTTTAAATTTATATCATATACTTTCAAGAGATTCACGAGTTTGATTTCCATAAAGTAAATTAATTATAAAGCCAAATCTAAAACAAGCATTTCTATTACAATGTGACACTCAGTGGTTATATATTACTGTTTAAAAATTCAATATTCAGTATTTTAGATCAGACAAATCGAAAGACAAGTTGAGTTTTGTTTTCCTTGGCAAATAGAATATTAGAATAAACCTTTTGAAGAGGAGCAATTCTGCAGTGACGAAGATGGTAAAGCTTCTATGTGCCTGTGGTGACACTGAATCCTACGTAGTAACTGTTGAGCCACAGGTACAAACTCAGATTCCCAGCACATTTTATGATGTTCTATCAGTCCTTCATCTGAACCACTGATGGCAACATCCAATGCAATTTCTTCATCTAAGAAATAAAAGAGAAAATGCCAATTTTCAAGTAAAAATCAAAATTGATATTTTGTCTCATTTATTGATTAAATTTAAACAGCCAACTAGTTATTTACCACTAGTGATGCAGCAACTTACTACTGTACAAGTCACTGAAGTACAAAGACCCAGTGTTAAATCACAGCTTTGCCTGATATTCACACACGGGCTCCTCAGGCACTCCAGCATAAGGCGAGGGTGATGTCAGGGATGTTTTGCTTTGCAGTTCCACATCAACAACAATGATAACCAGGGAGATAGGGAGAATTTATTTACAAAATCTTAGAGTTCCAAAAATGTAAATTACAGGGTACTAAGCAGAGAAAAAAAATTTAAAATGATAGTGGTTAAGAGTTTAATGCAAATGTATAAGGTAGCTATTTTACTGTGGGAATCTTTTTTATTTACTGTGCATAAAATGGTGATAATACGCTTGAAGTTTTATGTGAGCTGCAATATGTAAAATGAGAATATAATTATAATTAAATTTGCATGTTTTAACCTATTAGTTATGTACTTCAGATTCTTTTTCAGTTTGCCTTATTGAGGTTACACATCCTAAAATATGTGTAATCTTAGCCATTTATTGTCATACTGACAGAAATCCATTCAAAGTCAGTATGGATACCTACTGCAAAAATACAAGTATGCTGGCTTGAAGTCTCAAAGTTACACTGTCAGCAGGAAGATCAGTATCTCTGCTTCAGTTACGAAAAGTTGTATAAATCATTACTTATTAAAAGAGTCAAGAAAACGGCAAAACTAAATGGAATAAAAATAATACTTACCAGCCAATAACATTTACTTTTGTAATAATATTTACTTATGTAAATTTATTGGTCTCTTGCAAGTAGAGTCATAGAGCTGTACAGCATGGAAAACAGACCCTTTGGTCCAACTCGTCCATGCCAATCAAATAAAGCCGCAACGTGACCTCCCAACTCCTATACTCAAGGTGTTGACCGATAAAAGCAAGCATACCAAACACTGCCTTGTTCACTACCCTGTTGACCTGCAACTCTACTTTCAAAGAACTATGAACCTGCACTCCAAGGTCTCTTTGTTTAGCAACACTACCCAGGACCTTACCAATAAGTATATAAGTCCTGCCCTGATTTGCCTTTCCAAAATGCAGCACCTCACAGTTATCTAAATTAAACTCCATCTGCTAGTCCTCGGCCGACCAGTTCATCTGATCACGGTCCCTGTTGTACTCACTTCTTCATTGTCCACTACACCACCAATTTTGATGTTATCTGCAAACTTACTAACCATACCTCCTATTTTCACATCCAAATCATTTATATAAATGACAAAAAGCAGTGGACCCAGCACCGATCCTTGTGGTACACTGCTGGTCACAGGCCTCCAGTCTGAAAAACAACCCTTCACCACCACCCTCAGTCTTCTACCTTCCAGCCGGTTCTGTGACCATGTGGCTAGTTCTCCTTGTATTCTATGTGATCTAACTTTGCTAACCAGTCTACCATGTGGAGCCTAGTTGAACGCCTTACTGAAGACCATATAGATCACATCCACCGCTCTGCTTTCATCAGTCCTCTTTGTTACTTCTTCAAAAACCTCTCTTAATTTAGAACTTTAACTTTTAGATCTGGTCTATCCTGTTCCATCATTATTTTAAAACTAATAAAATAATGATCACTGGTCCCAAAGTGCTCCCCCACTGACACCTCAGTCACCCGCCCTGCCTTATTTCCCAAGAGTAGGTCAAGTTTTGCTCCTTCTCTGGTAGGTACATCCACATATGAATCAGAACATTTTCTTGTGCACACTTAACAAATTCCTCTCCAGGCAAGCCCTTAACACTCCGGCAGTCCCAACCTATGTTTGGCAAGTTAAAATCCCCTATCATTACCACCTTATTATTCTTACAGATAAATGAGATCTCCTTAAAATTTTGCTGCTGAATTTCCTCCTGACTATTGAGGGTCTATAGTACAATCCCAATAAGGTGATCATCCCTTTCCTATTTCTCAGTTCCACCCAAATAACTTCCCCGGAATTATTTCCAGGAATATCCTCCCTAAGTACAGCAGTAATGTCATCCCTAATCAAAAACGCCACTCCCCTTCCTCTCTTGCCCCCACTTTCTATCCTTCCTATAGCATCTATACCCTGGACCATTAAGCTGCCAGTTCTGTCCATTAAATAGACAGAATCTACAGCACATAAATAGACCATTCAGTCCAACTGCTGAATGCCATGTTTATTCACGACACAGGTCTCCCACTCTAACTATACCTTCCCACCCTGTCCCTGAATCTCCCATGTATGAAGGAAGCATCAGCCTAAACATTTGAAGCCATATGGTTCAATCATACCATTTTCTCAACACTGTATAAAAAGTCCTCTTAAATTGTATACTTGATCTGTTGGTGATTATGTTTATTACCCTTTGCTCTAGACTCATCCATGGTTTTAAACAACAACAATACTTTAATGTACAACTGAAAACAGTAACTTAATATACAATATTACTTATTTCTAAACCCTGGAATTAACATTACATGGGTAATATAATGTGATTGGACTCGCTACAGTGAACATCAATTAGCAAATGCAATCCAGCTAGATGTCACAGACTTCTCAATAACTCCCACCAAACATTAATGACACAATAAGTCATCAAACTTCATTAAACTTCACAAAGGATTACAACTCAACCTCTGTGGACCTGGCCTTGAAACACCCTCCTAACGCCCGCTCTATTATGGATTGCTTCAACAACTGTGCATTTTCTTTCACCCTCCTGAGTTCACGCTCCCACCGAACCTAAAACTGCACTTCAGTTCTTATGGACCAGCACAACTTTAGCTTTTTGCCAACAGCCAGTTTGACCACGGCAAAATTTGCCCCTGTTTTCCCTTCAAGTTGGAATCTTGCTAAGTTGCATCAAGCAAATCCTGCTTATGGTTTTTCAACACCTACTTTTTCAGCTGCATGGAAATATTAATAATCAGACATTTTTCTGAAACCCTCATGATTTCATCCAACTCAGTGTCAGTGACTTTTCCACTTAGCTCCCCAGGATTTCTTCTTTGTAGTTCTGTCTCAAATTTTTAGCTGCTTATTTATTCCTAGAGCATCTTCTTGAGCCATTCAACCACTCTCGACTCCTTCTCTGTGAGATAGATAAGAATTTTCACTCCTAACGTGGAGTCTTTCCTTGTCTCTCTCTTTCTCCAACTATTAACAGCCATAGAATTTTTTTTCAGTGACACCCAAACTGTCTTGAGTAACCTATCAAAAACCTTGCAATAATTCCTGCCCCTATTGCAGGGCAGAATGGAATGTTGCCACCTAGCACCTCTAAAACTCCTTGTTCTCTAAATGTTACATTCTTAATGCTGAAAATGGACTTCATCACAGCCCATATGGTAACATTTGTTTTGTAATACTTCTGTAAGACTCTTTAGGAACATCTTCTTACATTAAGTATGCAACATAAATATGTATAGAGTTGCAGTGTGTCTTTGTAACAGGTTATATCAGAAGATGAGTATATGCCAGAAATTCCCCAGGATGAGTTACTTCATTGATCAGCTGACAATGAACAGGCTGCTGGAACACAGAGTGCAATCTGTAGCTATAAATTAATTCTACTTATTGTTTATTCACTGTTCATTGTTTTTCAAAAGAAAGTAGTGGAATACAGAACTCAGGTATTCTAAACAATTCCAAAATCGGTGGATACAGCGGTCAGACTTGTTAAACATCAATTTGACTGGATATTTATAAGATAATATATTACAGAAGCCACCACAGGCAAAGTGGTTTTTACGTTCTTACTTAAGTATGCAGGAAGGAGTTCCAGAAGTTCACTAGTTTCATTTTCTCCAAAGAACAACACTGCACTGGTTATTTTTTCACTATAGTTCCAAAGGGTTTTGCAGACCAGGCTGGCCAATTGCCAGTCTGTAGGCCCAAAGTCTCTCAAACAGTCAATTAACCTAGAAAATCAACAGAATACAACACATTCAATCAAAAATATCTTTTGAATCAATAGTTATTTTACTCATAACACTTGCAAACAGATTTTGGTTCAAAGTCTGTGGCCCTTTCAGTACATCCCGATCATAGCCCTGGCAGGAGTATACTAAGGGTTTGAAATTATTTTCCTAACCTAGGTTAATGTTGCAATTTCTACAATACCTCATTAGGGGTACAACATCTTTCACATTCTTAAAATGTTACCAATCAGAACAGAAGTAAGCCTATGGACTGCCAAATCTGAGAAATCTTGTGTTTCTAGGACATCATGCTCTGCCAAGAGCATGATTGGGCCCAAATACATAAGCTAGACTCCCAAAGTTTTTTTTTCAATTAATTAAATGCTTATAAAGTGGGTTGCAGAAAACAGTGTAAAAATCTGAAAACCTAGAGGGTGTGGGGGGTGCAAAATGTTTTTATCAACCCCAATTCATCATTCCTCACTCTTTTTATAAGTGCAACCCTTAGTTAACGTTAGTGCCTCTCTATTGGATGAGCACTCTTCATTTACCTGCCAATGAAAGGAAAGTTAAGGGTCATCCCCTAACCCTTAAAATTCTAGTGGGATCAGATCAGATGGCCCAGCATCTTCATAAAAACAAAACATATTTTCTTTACAAAATGATCAGGGACATGAGATTCCACAGGGGTATTTCAGTTTCTTGCTGTAGCCATGGCAAGAGGCCAGCACAATCTTTTAGGAAACGACTGTCTTCGATGTTTGTACTTCCCTGGGCACTCTGCCACCCTCCCACCACAGGATATGGAGAACTCCCACAGAAACTCAAGGTCCAATTCCTTAAAATGAAACTATAAATTAAATGGGATTGAATTTCTCGATCACTTTATGGTTAAGCTGTTTCTTAGGAGCTTTTGCAGAACTCCCCTGGTTCTTGACAGCGAAGCCTTTTTACAAAGATTCAACACCAATGCTTCAATTTAGCTTACCGTAAGACACAGTTAAGTAATTAATTTGCATTCACACTCCAATTCACCTAAATCAGCCAACAATTGAGTAAAAATATTGCAGCAACAAGCCAGGTGATAATACCTGCTTGAAAAGAAGTATTTACTGTGATACTAATTAACATGAAATTTAGAGTTTTATACTTACTTTTTTATTCCTCCATCCTGTTTCAGTATGGGTCGTTTGTTTTTATCAACTGTCAAGTTTATAAGCACTCCACAAGCAGCAAAACAGACGTCCTGGTGCTTGGCATCCAACAATGTGATCATAAATTTATCCACTGATTTACAGGAGAAAAAATAATAATATTAGGAAAAAACATTTCCTCTTTTTGTGGCAGATAAATGTTAGTTAAGAAAACCCCTCAGAAGCTACAAGTAAAGAAGAAACATACAGTTATGACAGAATTCAAACCCAGGTCCCCAGAGCATACCCGAGTCTCTGGATCACTAGTCCAAAGACAATACCACTAGGCTATCACCTCCCCTTTATGAAAAGTTTACATACAAATGAATTCGGAGCAGGAGTAGGCCACTCAGCCTCTCAAACCTTCTCCACCATTCAATAAGATCAAGACTGATTGGATAATTCAACATCTCCATTTACCCCAGCAATTTTGCTCATCAAAAGAATCCATCTACTTCTGCCTCAAAAAACATTCAGAAATTCTGTTTCCAATAGCTGTTGAGTAAGTGTTCCAAAGACATTTTATTTAACATTCATTCACAGGACAAGGACATTGCTGGTTGGGGCAGCATTTATTGCTCATCCCTAATTGCACCAAAGGCAATAGTCAACCACATTGCTATTGGTCTGAAGTCACATGCAGGCCAGACTGGATAAAGATAGCAGATTTTCTATCTTAAAGGACTTCAGTGAACCAGATGGGTTTTCCTGAAGATTAAACATAGAACAGTACAGCACAGGAGCAGGCCCTTCAGCCCATCATGTCTGTGCCAACCATGATGCCATTCTAAACTAATCCCATCTCCCGGCACATGGTCTGTTTCCCTCTATTCCCTGTCTATTTATGTGTCTATCTAAATGCCTCCTAAATGTTGCCATTGCATCTGCTTCTACTACCCCTCCTGGCAGTGTGTTCCAGACACCTACCACTCTCTGTTAAAAAAAGCTTGCCTTGCACATCTGCTTTAAACTTTCTCCCTCTCATTTTAAATCTATGCCCCTAGTATTTGACATTTCTACTCTGGGAAAAAGACTCTGACTATCTGCCCTATCTATGCCTCTCATAATTTTATATATTTTTATCAGGTCACCCGTTAGCCTCCGACTTTCGAGTGAAAACTATTGAAGTTGTCCAACCTGTCTTTATGGTAATATACTCCAATCCAGGCAACGTCCTGGCAAACTTCTTTTGCACCCTCTCCAAAGCCTCCACATTCTTTCTGTAATGTTGCAACCAGAACTACACACAATACACCAAATGTGGTCTAAACTAGTGTTTTATACAGCTGCAACATGACTTGCCAACTTTTATACTCAATGCCTTGACCAATGAAGGGAAGTATGTCATACTCCTTCTTTACTATCTTATCCACTTGTGTTACCACTTTCAGGGAGCTGTGGATTGGACCTTAAGATCCCTGTGTATATCAATGCAATTAAGGGACCTGCCATTTACGCTATACTTTCCTCTTGCATATGGCTTCCCAAACTGCATCACCTCACACTTGTCCAGATAAACTCTATCTGCCATTTCTCTGCCCAACTTTCTAACTGATTTATATCCTGCTATATCCTTTGACAACCTTCCTTACTATTCAGAACTCCACCAATTTTCATGTCTTCTGCAAACTTACTGATCAGACCATCTACCTTTTCACAAAATCATTGATATATATCACAAACAACAGGGGTCCCAGCACTAATCCTTGTGTAACACCACTGTTCACAGACTTCCAGTCAAAAAAACATCTCTCCACAACTACCCTCGATCTTCTATGATCAAACCAATTTTGAATCCAACTTACCAACTCACCGTGGATTCCATGTGACTTATTCTTCTGGACCAGCCTATCATGAGAGACCCTGTCAAATGCTTTAGCAAAGTCCACGTAGAGAACATTGACTGCCCTACCCTCATCAATCATCTTTGTCACTTGCTCAAAAAACTCTAATTTGTGAGACAAGACCTCCTTACACACAGCCATATTTACTGTTCAAAATAATTCCATTGACAATGGTTTCATGGTCATCTTTAGATTCTTAGTTCCAGATTTTTATTGAATACAAATTGCATCAACTGCCATGGCAGGACTCAAACCCAGAACATACCTGGGTCTTGGCTTGCTAACCAAATGACAGAAACAGCAGGCCATTGCATTCTCTCTGTGAGAAAAAAAAGTTTCTGCATCTCTGTCTTAAACAGATAACACTTATATAGTGATCCCTATTTCTAGATTCTTTCATAAAAGGTAACATTCCTTCAGCATCCACCTTGACAAGACTCCTCAGGGTCTCATGAGTTTCAATCGCCATATCTAACTGTTATAAACTCAGGAGATATAAGCCCAGCCTTTAAAACCATTCCAGGTATTTGTCTAGAAAATCTTCTCCAAACTGCTTCTAATACTTTTAGATTCTTCCTTAGAAAATTCTGTATACAGTACTCCACTTGTAATTTCACAAAAGCCCTGAATAATTGCAACATAACCTCCCTAAGTTTGTATTCAATTCTTTTTACAATAAATAATGGCATTCTTTTTCTAGCCTTGCTAATTATTTTCTGTACCTGTGTTCCAATCTTTTATATTCATGCACTAGAGCACACAGATCCCTCTGCAACTCAGAACTCTGCAACCTCTGACCATTTAGACAATATGCTTTATTGGAGGAGACAGACCGGTCAAAGAGGCGGGGATGGAGCCAGTAAAGGTGAGTGTAGGTGGGGAGGTAGGGAGGAGATAGGTCAGTCCAGGGAGGACGGACAGGTCAAGGGGGCTGGATGATGTTAGTAGGTAGGAGATGGGGGTGGGGCTTGAGGTGGGAGGAGGGGATAGGTGGGAGGAAGGACAGGTTAGGGAGGCGGGGACGAGCTGGGCTGGTTTTGGGATGCGGTAGGGACAGTGGAGATTTTGAAGCTTGTGAAATCCACATTGATACCATTGGGCTGCAGGGTTCCCAAGCAGAATATGAGTTGCTGTTCCTGCAACCTTCGGGTAGCATTGTTGTGGCACTGCAGGAGGCCCAGGATGGACATGTCGTCTGAGGAATGGGAGGGGGAGTTGAAATGGTTCGCGACTGGGAGGTGCAGTTGTTTAGTGCGAACCGAGCGTAGGTGTTCTGCAAAGCGGTCTTCAAGCCTCCGCTTGGTTTCCCCGATGTAGAGGGAACAGCAGATGCAGTATACCACATTAGCAGATGTGCAGGTGAACATCTGCTTGATGTGGAAAGTCTTCTTGGGGCCTGGGATGGGGGTGAGGGAGGAGGTGTGGGGGCAGGTGTAGCACTTCCTGCGGTTGCAGGGAAAAGTGTCGGGTGTGGTGGGGCTGGAGGGAAGTGTGGAGCGGACAAGGGAGTCACGGGAGAGAGTGGTCCCTCCGTTAACAGATAAGGGTGGGGAGGGAAAGATGTCTTTGGTGGTGGGGTCGGATTGCAGATGGCGGAAATGTTGGAGGAACCGGGGGAAGCTCCACCAAGAGACCCCCCCACACCCTCTTTGTAGGTTACGTGGAACAATCCCTCTTCCGTACCTACACTGGCCCTAAACCCCACCTCTTCCTCCGTTACATTGATGACTGAATCGGTGCCTCCTCTTGCTCCCAAGAGGAGCTCGAACAGTTCATCCACTTCACCAACACCTTCCACCTCAACCTTAAGTTCACCTGGACCATCTCTAATACCTCTCTCTCCTTCCTGGACCTCTCTGTTTCCATCTCTGGCAACCACCTAGAAACCGATATCCATTTCAAGCCCACCGACTCCCACAGCTACCTAGAATACACCTCCTCCCACCCACCTTCCTGCAAAAATGCCATCCCCTATTCCCAATTCCTTCGCCTCTGCCGCATCAGCTCCCAGGATGAGGCATTCCACTCCCGTACATCTCAGATGTCCTCGTTTTTCAAGGACCGCAACTTTTCCCCCTCAGTGGTCGAGAACACCCTCGACCGTGTCTCCCGCATTTACCCACACCCGACACTTTTCCCTGCAACTGCAGGAAGTGCTACACCTGCCCCTACACCTCCCCCCTCACCCCCGTCCCAGGCCCCAAGAAGACTTTCCACATCAAGCAGATGTTCACCTGCACATCTGCTAATGTGGTATACTGCATCCGCTGTTCCTGTTGTGGCCTCCTCTACATCGGGGAAACCAAGCGGAGGCTTGGGGACCGCTTTGCAGAACACCTACGCTCGGTTCGCACTAAACAACTGCACCTCCCAGTTGTGAACCATTTCAACTCCCCCTCCCATTCCTCAGACGACATATCCATCCTGGGCCTCCTGCAGTGCCACAACGATGCTACCCGAAGGTTGCAGGAACAGCATCTCATATTCCGCTTGGGAACCCTGCAGCCCAATGGTATCAATGTGGATTTCACAAGCTTCAAAATCTCTCCTCCCCCTACCGCATCCCAAAACCAGCCCAGCTCGTCCCCGCCTCCCTAACCTGTCCTTCCTCCCACCTATCCCCTCCTCCCAGCTCAAGCCCCACTCCCATCTCCTACCTACTAACCTCATCCCACCCCCTTGACCTGTCCATCCTGCCTGGACTGACCTATCTCCTCCCTACCTCCCCACCTACACTCACCTTTACTGGCTCCATCCCCGCCTCTTTGACCTGTCTGTCTCCTCTCCACCTATCTTCTCCTCTATCCATCTTCTATCCACCTCCCCCTCTCTCCCTATTTACTTCAGAACACCCTTCCCCTCCCCCATTTCTGAAGAAGGGTCTAGGCCCGAAACGTCAGCCTTCCTGCTCCTCTGATGCTGCTTGGCCTGCTGTGTTCATCCAGCTCTACACCTTGTTATCTCAGATTCTCCAGCATCTGCAGTTCCTACTATCTCTGCCCCAACAGTGATCCTTGTTCCACTGCATTTGTTACAACTGGTCAAGCAGAAATTGATTCATTTATGTCTACTCTCAGTTTCTTGTTAGCTAGCTAATCTTCTATCTGTACCAATATGCTATTTTATTCTCTGCAATAATCCATGAAGTAGCACCAGATTAAATGCCTTCTGGAAATCTAAAAACAGTACATCCATTGGTTCCCCTTTATTCATAGCACGTTACTTTCTCAAAGAATCTAAATAAATTGGTTAAACATGATTTCCCTTTCATAAAACCAGGTTCACTCTGCTTGAATGCCATGAGCTTTTTAATTACTCTGCTATAACATATTTAATAATAACTCCTAATCTTTTCTCTATAATAGATGTTAAACTAACTGGCTGTAGATTGGGAGACAGGA